ATGCTTCTGGGCTGTGAAAGTCTCACACATGTGGTATCCCCATACTCAGGAGACATAGCAGAATGTGTTTTGGGGTGTAATTATAAGTGTGCCTTTGCTGTGTGTGAGAAATAATTGTAAAATTACAACTTTGTGGGAAAAAAAAAAATGTCTTATTTTCCCAAAAAAATTGCGACAAAAAAAATTACAACTTAAAAAAAAAAAACTCACCATGCTTCTTACTAGATACCTTCTAATATACTTTCCAAAAAAGAGTCATTTGGGAGGTAATTGTACTGTCCTGGCATTTTAGGGCCTCATGTAATGAGATAGGAAGTCAGTACATCAGGACTGACCAATTTTCAGACTGCAGGGGGCTTGTCAGCTGGAGGCAGACAAACAGAAATACACTGATCTTCTGGCAGAGGAGTTGTGCAAGAAGGGCATGTCAGCACAAGTCTCGTCCATTGGAGGACAGATCGCCTGTGCTTCCAAGTAGAATGCAAAAAAAAGGAAATTGACCGTGAAATACTCAGGTATTGGCACCTGGGGTTCCAGTAGAGGAGAAGTTCCATGAATCATGCTGAGCTCTGTCTGGGTAGTTATGTCTGAGACTGCAGAGGGACCCATGGCTGTTGAGGCATCTGACTTGGTTGGTAGTTGGTTTTCCATATGCTCAAGGTTTCTTTGCAAACTCTGCACCATGTAAGACAAGGCAGAGATTGATTGACAGATGTCCCCCATTGCAGAGGCCTCCCTTTTAGACTCCATCACTGGCTGACTGGTACTGTCAAGTACCTGATTAGTGACTGAAATGACGAGATGTTTGCAGCTCTTGCAACTGGAGACTTTGGAAGACTGATAAACCTCTGATTCAGGAACAGTAGTGATATGCAGAGCTGGTATGGTAGGTCGCCAGGTGTGCACCAGAGCAAGGCAGGAAGCTGGGATGGGAGACAGGAGCAATGTCATAGGAATAGCCAGGGTCATCAACAGGCAGACAGCGAGGTACCAAATAATAAGCAAGCCAAAGTCAGGAGCAGAGCCGAAGTCAGGAACAAGTATCAAGCAGGAGAGTAATCAAGAGTCAGGTCAGCAACAAGGAAATCACACAGGAATGAGCAGGAAATGGGGAACAGCTGAAGACCAGTCAGCACTCAGCACAGGCAGAGGCACCTATTAAATAGTCCGTCTGGTGCCAATCTTTACCGTGCGTGTGCGTGATCGTGCATTGTTGTGCGCACTCCTATTCGCCAATCGTCTCACCAGGATTACCTTACACTATAACTTTCATGTAAACCAATTAATTTACACTTATTGGGACTTTTTTTTTAGCAATTGACATGTAGAAGAATACATTTTGGCCTAAATTTATGAAGATGTTTGATTTTTTTACATTTTTTAACTTATGTTTTATAGCAAAAAGTCAAAAATATTGGGTTTTTTTTCAAAATTTTCATTTTTTTTGTTTATAGCGCAAAAAATTAAAAACGCACAGGTGATCAAATACCACCGAAAGAAAACTCTGTTTGTGGGGAAAAAAGGACATAAATTTAATTTATGTACAGCATTGCATGACCGTGCAATTATCAGTTAAAGTAATGCAGCTCTGTATCGCAAAAAATGGCCTGGTCAGGAAGGGGTTAAATCCTCTGGAGGGCAAGTGGTCAAGGAACGGAACAAAATTGAGTCGAACTGAGTGCTGCTCAACCATTCACAAGGAGGTTGTATTGTATGAATGAATACAAAGCTTGCTCTGATTGGCTGAGGCAGAGTTTGTGATATCATCATCCTACCTCTCTGCCTCATAGAATACAAAGCTCCCTGTGGATGGCTGAACAGTGCTTAGTCTGACTTAGAGTTTTGTTTCAGGAGTGGCATGGGAAGGTCTCGTCTTGCTGCTATATGCAGAGAGTGGTGCTGACTGCCGGAGAACTGGACCATGGCGCAGAGCTAGAGAGAGAAGCAGGGATAAGCCGTTGACCTTGCCACCTTGTTCAGCAAGACAGTCTGACAGCAGGTGACTTGGCACACAGTGACTGAACGTAAGGCTGCACGTAAGGCTGGAGAATCCGTGGGGCCCCCATTCACCGAAAAAGAGAAAGCCAGGACCAGCTGTGAGCCACTGATCGAGTGAGACAGTCCCATACACCAGTTAGGCAAGAGGGCACTGACATTATCCTTATACCTGCTACTTTACTGGCACACAGTTGTGGACATTGCACTCCGTTAACATGTGTTGTGGCCTAGTTCTCACAGCCGCTACTGTTGAACACATTTGCAGCACAGTCCAATCATTAGAGCTGACCCTAGTGCATGCCTTCTGCAGGCCATATCACATTAGAGCTTCCTGAACCATTGACCTGTTCTCTTAAAGGAACTTCCACCACCTTTGCCATTGGTCACCGCATTTCAGAGTAGAGTTATCCTTTTGCCACCAAGCCCATTTGCCAGTTTAACACTTTATTTGCCTATAAGCTGCTCTTTTCCCAGTGCATTAAAGGAGACAACACACAAGTCAAGTGTCATTTAAAGGGCAAGTCCTTGTCCTTTCTTTTACCTCCCCTTTGTGTAAATCCTGTCAGGAACTATCACCTACATCATCTAAAGCCCTGCTTATTTGTGCACCAACTGGGTCCCAACAAGCACGCAAAGGAGTTCTCACTGTACTTAAAGGGACATTGACTACCCTGGTCAAAGAGCTCTTCTACCTCAGATTTAATCCTTGCCATCAGGCTCTGAGGGCCCAAAGTGAGTTAGTCTCATTGTTGCTAGCTCTTATTGCTCACTGGGGTTGCTACCACCTCAGATTGGAGGCATTGGGTTAATTTCTGAAAGCAGGCCTGCTAACATTGATTGAACTTCTGCTATATGTGCTATTTCTTTGCTTAGATTTGCTAAGAGTAATTATTGCTATTCCAAGTATCAATACCAGTTTGTTCAGTTAATCCAAGTTTACATTGAAGTTGAATATAAACCTCATATCAGTTTTCTCTAATTTGTGTGTCAGTTTACTTTCTGGTGGTAATTTACTCTGGACAAAGGAACCTTGTGGTGTTAGCAGGGACTGGGCTTTCAGAGAGGGGTCCAGAATGACAGGGAGCCCAAAAATAACTCAGTGACTCCTAAGGGGGTAGTGATACACAAAGAACATACATTCCAAATGAATAATGCTACCAAAATTAATGTGTGCTGTAAATTTTCTCCAGCATTGTCCCTGTTTCTTCTAGTGAGGGGCTCCCATTTTGCTGAAGTGCAGAGCCCCTGAGCAGTAGTAAATCTTTAGGCTGTCAGCAGATCAGCCTCTAATAGTTCTTATTTTCAACACAGTGCCAAGAAGAGAGGCCAGCTGAGGCTATGCAGAACAGGATGAGACTATGTATTACTGGATTTTAAATAGTATAGGCTCTTATTTTTTATGTTTTACATAGCTATACCTGCAATAGGGGCCAGCATGAAGTGATCTATCAGGGCTTCATGTTATGACTAAACTTTCACTTTAAGGCAGAATTCCTTTAGTTCCTATGAGTCTGGTTCACATTTATATTTAGTAAGGTGCATTATGGAGCAATATATAAGGGTCCATTTACAGCTATCCATATACACTATATTGCCAAAACTATTGGGACGCCTGCCTTTACACACACATGAACTTTAATGGCATCCAAGCCTTAGTCCGTAAGGTTCAATATTGAGTCGGCCCACCCTTTGCAGCTATAACAGCTTCAACTCTTCTGGGAAGGCTGTCCATTAAGTTTAGGAGGGTGTCTATGGGAATGTTTGACCATTCTTCCAGAAGTGCATTTGTGAGGCCAGGCAATGATGTCAGACGGGAAGGCCTGGCTCGCAGTCTCTGCTTTAATTCATCCTAAAGGTGTTCTATCAGGTTGAGATCAGGACTCTGTTCAGGCCAGTCAAGTTCCTCCACCCCAAACTCACTCATCCATGTCTTTATGGACCTTACTTTGTACACTGGTGTGCAGTCATGTTGGAACAGGAAGGGGCCATCCCCAAACTTTTCCCACAAAGTTGGGAGCATGAAATTGTCCAAAATGTCTTGGTATGCTGATGCCTTAAGAGTTTCCTTCACTGGAACTAAGGGGCTAAGTCCAACCCCTGAAAAACAACCCCACACCATAATCCCCCCTTCACCAAACTTTACACTTGGCACAATGCATTTAGGCAAGTACCGTTCTCCTGGCAACTGCCAAACCCAGACACGTCCATCAGATTGGCAGACAGAGAAGTGTGATTCATCACTCCAGAGAACACGTCTCCACTGCTCTAGAGTCAAGTGGCGGTGTGCTTTACACCACTGCATCCGATGCTTTGTATTGCACTTGATGATGTAAGGCTTGGATGCAGCTGCTCAGCCATGGAAACCCATTCCATGAAGCTCTCTACGCACTGTTGTTGTGCTAATCTGAAAGCCACACAAAGCTTGGAGGTCTTCAGCTATTGACTCTACAGACAGTTGGCGACTTTTACACACTGTGCACTTCAGCATTCGCTGACCCCACTCTGTCATTTTATGCGGCCTACCACTTTGTGGCTGAGTTGCTGTTGTTCCCAGTTGCTTCCATTTTGTTCTAATTCCACTAACAGTTGACCGTGGAATATTTAGTACCAAAGAAATTTCACAGATGGACTTATTGCACAGGTGGCAACCTATCACAGTACCACGCTTGAATTCACTGAGCTGAGAGCGACCCATTCTTTCACAAATGTTTGTAGAAGCAATCTGCATGGCTAGGTGCTTGATTGTATACACATGTGGCCATGGAAGTGATTGGACCATATTAAACCAATGATTTGGAGGGGTTTCCCAATACTTTTGGCAATATAGTGTCTGTTTCTAGTTCAACTTACGCATAGTTGTTTATCAGCTCTAAGAGAATGATGCTGTATGGGAGGGTGCCTGTTATGCAGCATCAAAGGGGGACTATGATTGAGCAGGTGTTGGCACCAAACTGTGCAAGTCCCCGCCCTGTTTTACTCTGATAGGTCAAACACTCACCCAGGGGTGGACTGACAACTCATGGGACCCCCGGGCAATAGGGGATCATGGGGCCCCTGTGTCCTTGCCCAGACTTAAAAAGCCTATGAAAAAAGGTACCAGGGGCATCTCATGGGGCCCCCTAATGACCTCGGCCCTCGGGCAGTCCCCGAGTTTCCAAATGGTCAGTCCGCCCCTGCACTCACCTGTTGTTGAGAAATTCTCTACCATATTGTGCCATACTCCTGGACTGAGGTCCACTCATGACATCCCCCACCAGACAGGCATTCCTTTATTTGAGAATAAAGGAATGTCCACACACAAATGCATTTTCCGCACTTTACTGTGACTTTTCAGTGACATTAACATACTCACGTTAACATACTAGCAGAATTTCAGAGCAGAATGCCACATGCAAGGTTAGACATTCTGTAGCAGTCATTTTAGCACAGAACGTAGGTATGCATCTTTAAGCCATCTTCCCTTTACACCTCCATTCCCCTCCTTGGGAGCACCACAGAGGTGGCACCACTTCCCTGTGTATATTAAGTCCACAGCATTACGATTTCATCACCAAATCACAAGACCTGCAGCTGAGGGTCAGGGGGAAATCAAGGTGCTTTCTTTGGTATACCATTCTCTCCCCAATGTCCCTTCCATAGCTCTGCCTAGCTGGGTACATTCTCTGGTGGCACCCTCATTCCCAGACGTCATGAATACTCACATCAGAGGAGTCTCTCCAGGCCTCCAAGGCCTTATGCAACCCACTTCAGGACCTGCAGAAGAAGGTCAGGGGAGAGAGGGTGACTACAGCTATTCTTCCCATGTTCTGTACCACCTCACCTGTAACTTCAGCCCTGCAATGGGCCCTTTTAGTCAGCTCTGCAGGAGACTACATCTTAGCAGCTTTGGGGTATCTCAGTCCCATGCCCCATATTCTCAATGGGGAGCTAACACCTAATTACTAAATACCTTTGCCTTCCCATGCTATAATGAGAACAGAGCCATCTAGTGGCAGGCAAGCTAACTGCACCTACCAACACACTATAACTCCCCCACAGGTTTGATTTTTTTTAGTAGCAGTATATTAAATCCCAGCTCAAATGTCAATTCTGTTTTGGTAGGCAAACAGTTGGATACCATTTGAAAGATGACTGCTGTGTGCATACATGGAGAACACTATTATCAGATGTTTGCCTTCTTAGTATTATGTAGTAGCATAATTTGCACAGATTAAAGCAGTATTAAACCAAGAAGCAAACATGTATTATAAGCAGCTTACCAATTCTTAGATGTGATGATTGCATTACTTTTCTTTTTTAGGCTTTTTTTTCTTCTATTTTCATCTAAAGATCCAGCCAGTAAGTCTATTGTTTTTCAAAAGAACAAGTTCTATTCCAGATGTATTAATTTACAGGAATGAGACAATTCATTTACCACTGACAGGAGAATATACAATGATCTCCTTCTAAGATTGTAAACTCTAATGAGCAGGCCCTCTGTTTCATCTTGTACCAAATTGTATCATAACTGTAATGTATACCTTCATTTTGTAAAGTGCTGCACAAACTGTTGGCACTATATAAATCCTGTATAATAATAATAATGATCATCTGAAACAAACTGTAACGGATTATACTCTGTGAGCTGGAGTTTGGCTTCAATTTGTTAATGTATTTAAATCTGCTAGTACACTCAACACCCCTTCCACTGAAACTGTCAGTGCTGTTGTCAGCTGTGCCCCCTGTGCTACTTCATCCAGAGTTGGGACAGTCCAATACAGGAGGTGTGTTGCTGGCCAGATCACCAGGTAAAAATAAAGAAAAAAAAAACTAAAAAAAAGAAAAGTAATGCAGACACCACATCTAATGATTGGTAAGCTGCAATATATCACATGTTTTGGTTTTGGGTTTATTATCGCTTTAAGTGTGTATTAAGGAAACATTCTGACACCACTACAGCATTAAAGTGTAACTAAAACCCAGGACCCTGCATTCACTCTATCTGTCTCAGTATCAGTACACAGAACATGGAAATGCAATTATTTCAGTAAATATAAACTGCTAAATACCTTTTCTCATCAGCAGTTAGAGCAGTCTTGTGACTTCTATCAGTGTCCAGCTGAGCACTGGTTAAAGTTTGTAAGAGGAGTTTTCATTCTATAGGAGGATACAGGACCCCTGACCTCTGTCTGGATAACGCTAATTGGCCCTGTGCTGATCACATGTACGCTCCCAAGAAAAAAAAAAACCTCTCTAGCAATACACACCAAACTAAGCATGTGCAGAGTGACTCCAAACCTCTGTTCTATCAGGAGATATTAGGGGACAATAAAAGAAGAGGATGATCAGAAAAGAGAGGATCAAACATCCTTTTTACACCATGGGGAGAATTAACCCCTTAAGTTCCACAGTGAGTATATCAATCATGCTTTACTGCATATACAGACTGATTTTACTGTTGTGGGTTTAGTAACTCTTTAATACCTGGAATGAGCCATAATAAGAGCCTCAGCAACATTTTGGCATTCAGTGCTCATAAATGTGGAGGTTGTTAATTCACAGAATAATCCTAAATAGATTGTAAAGTGCCACGCCCCTGCATTGTACATTTTTAGTAGCGCATTGTGAAAGATGGGATTTTTGAGGCACAACTATTAAAAAATATACTTTATTCAATTAAATATAAAATGCTGCTAATATATATATATTTCAATAAAAAAATAATGAAAGACACTGAATAAAAACATATGGTCAAAATCCATCAGTTGCTAGTGTAAGGAAGGGATCTGTCATAGCATTATGCGAAACCCTCCAGTTTATACTAGAGACATCTGACAAAGGGAAATATATCTGTTCAAACAAGCTATCCAAAATATAATCTCACAGAATGTATTACCATGCAAAAGGCTAGAGCAGTGTTTCTCAACCTTTTGGCAGTCAAGGCACCCTTTAAAACTATGGACAGTTCCAAGGTACCCTTTAAAATTATGGACACTCCTGAGGCACCCCATTCTAAAATGGGGTGCCTCAAGACTGTCCGTAGTTTTAAAAGGGATCCCCATTCTAAAATGTGAAAACTATTCTAATAGTTTTTATATAACGCAGCAACATCCACACATGTAGGACACCCAACATTAGAGGTGATTTATTCTTCCAAAGTAAATACACTTCTGCTCACTGGTACTGACTAGTATTCCATTGTTTCTCTTCTCCCTCAGTTTTTCGCCATCACTGAGCTAATGTGACCCCAGCACTGATGGAGACGGGCAGGGGAGGGGTAAACTAGGATGCTGTGCAGGCAGCTGACATCCTCCTTATCAGCTGATAATGTCATTGGTTGTCAGGACTCAGACAGCTTAGAAGGTCGTAATGGTGAACAATGAAAACCTGTGGCTTTGTGTAACTAAAAGGCAGGCTTGTTCCACCAGCTGGCTTGTATACAAGTTTTGGACAATTTTTACAAATTTTGCCAAGGCACCCCTGAAGAAACCTCAAGGCACCCCACAATGCCTGGGCACCCTGGTTGAAAAAGGCTGGGCTAGAGGAAAATGGCTTTATGTTGTAGGTACATTTCTGCAATTATGGGTGTGAGGCTTTGGAAATGTGGAGAACAGCAATGTAACACTGTGTCTATTGTACTCTTACAACCATCTTTGGCGTGCTAACATCACTGGAGCTTACAGTATATGACACAGTTTACATGGCAAATGTTAAATTATTATCTATCATCTGCTCCATGTTTGTGAAGTCCATTCGAAGCAATAGTGTAGAGCTTAGTGACTCTGGTGAAGCCACAATACTATACTGCCACCTACTTATGTTTCTGAAGCCTTACTAAGAAAACAATGGTTACACTGAAATAATATAAAACACTATGTATGCCACATCACTAGTGACATTTACACGGAAATACAATACACCATTCCAATTTAGCTGTTCAAAGTAGAAGAAAACTTTGCAAGGATACAATATATCAGGGTTTCTCAACCAGGGTTCCGTGGAACCCTAAGGTTCCTCCCAGGGGTGGACTGACTACTCATGGGGCCCCTGGGCAATAGGGGATCATGGGGCCCCTGTGTCCTTGCCCAAACTCAAAAAGGCCTATGAAAAAGGTACCAGGGGCATCTCATGGGGCTCCCTACTGACCCCGGGCCCTCGGGCAGTGCCCGAGTTTCCAAATGGTCAGTCCGCCCCTGGTTCCTCCAGAGGTTGCCAGAGGTTCCTTGCGCAATGAGCAATTGTTGCCTCTCAGACAGGGGCGGACTGACAACTCATGGGGGCCCCGGGCAATAGGGGACCATGGGGCCCCTGTGTCCTCGCCCACACGCAAACCACACCCAAAAAAGCCTATGAAAGGTACCAGGGCATGTCATGGGGCCCCATACTGACCCCGGGCCCTCGGGCAGTGCCCGAGTGCTCGAATGGTCAGTCCGCCCCTGCTCTCAGATAAGTTCCCACTGACGCCATTGGTCTTTTTAGCAATCTGTAAGGGGGTAATTCTTCCCAATGTCCACAAGTATAAGGATCATTCTTTCCTCTGACCATCACACTAATGTATCATGAATTGTAGATAGTCATTTTAGTAGAGGTTCCCTGAGACCGGAAAGTTATGTCAAGGGTTCCTCTGCATTGAAAAGGTTGAGATAGGCTGCAGTGTATGATAACCATGGTCATATTGTCAATGTAGCACCCTTTTTCAACCACAAGGGTGTACTGTGTAATACATCAAGGATCTTGAATAGCAAACACTACAGTGAAATATAGAATATATATTGTATAGAGAATATCTGTAAATGACACTTTATTAATATTAATATTATTATTAGTATGTAGGCAAAGGACACATCCCTGACACACCAAGTTACACAGCTCATAAAATATGAATGCGCAGCAAAAAAAGGTCCTTTTTACCACTAAGGCATTGTTCACATGGACATACTACATCATTGGGATGCAGCAGCTGCATCCCAATTGACATAAATGGGACTACCTGCACAGAACACCTGTGCATCCCCTTGTGCCCCAACTGCCCCCGTGTCTACTCCACCCCCTGTCCCATGCACCCCACCACCCTTCTCTGTTTTCCTGTCCACCATACAACCCACTTGTCCACCCCACTCCCCCAGTTCCTCTACTACCATCCTGTCCACCACACAGCCTCCCTGTCTCATCACTGAACACCACTGTCCTCTGTCTATTC